GGTCCGTTAAATCGAGACCCACTGTGTAGTACAGTGGCGACAGTAAAAAGCCATCAAGTGATACAAGGGCGCGGCTTTTTAAATTTTATCACGTGTACAAATTTTAGCCAATAAATTTCAAGAAAATCATTGTGATACGAGCAGACTAAAGAATTTTAGCCAATAGAATTTTAAGAAAATTAATGTGACATAAATGGTTAGGTGGGAAAATATCATGCGAAATTGAGAAATTAGTAAAATTTATTTTACTATATTATTTATATTATTTAACAGGCGGCAAATTTTGAAAATTATATACGACGAAATATTACAAAAATGGCGAGGTTTTAAATCCTTATAACATTTGCTAGTAAGTTTAAATAAAAAATCTGGCTGCAACAAATTATTCCCTGACTTCTAAATAATCATTTGGCGCAATTATCTTTTATATAGCAGTACAAAAGCTTATTATTACGAGACTTAGTATTGAAGGATCAGAAAGCAAAGATTTTGGCTATGATAAAGCATTTATTATTTGGAATAAAAACCGTAAAAGAAACGTGTGATCATTAAATAATATAATATTCTTAATTGTATATATTTTAATTTTTGTTTTTGACGATTTTTTTTTTTTTAAATCTAAAAATCGCAAAATTTACTTTTTGCGTACGAAATGGTCACAGTCGTTACATTAGTATATATTAATATTAATTGGTTTATAGTAAACATTGAACATAATTTATTGATTATCAATCAATATTATTGTTATTATTGTCGTTCGGCTAATTATTAAAGTTTTAATTTTATCAAGATGATCAGATCAAAAAATTAATTATAAATTGTTTTAATTTTACAAAAAAGTTTTTTTTATAATAATAATATTACAACTGAAGTCAATATCATTGATATTATTATAATAAAATGGCACTTTCTACACCAGCAGCTTATGCTCTATTTTTCATTACAGTTTTCTCATTTTTAATTATTGGATTGTATGCTGCATATAAAAATACGAAAAATAAATCCGATTTTTTATCTTCTTTAAGAACTCAAACTGCTGTACCATTAGCACTTAACTGGATAGCTTCATGTGAGTGTTATTAAAAAAAATTTAAGAAAATAAAAAAAGTGGCAGCATCAATATTTGTTTATTTGGTAAGTGAAGATTTAATCATTTATTTTTAAAAAAAAGATATAAATAATAATAAATTATCTATCATTATCGTTCTTTTTGAAAAAAAAAAAAAAAACAATTTAATAAAAAAAAAAGCAGGAAAAAAAAATGGCACTACAGGTGCTCAATATTGAGCTGAGAATTTACTGTCAATACCTGATCAGGGTAATGCCTGCGTAGGGAAGCTGCCACTTTTTTAAATATATATATATGTATATATATATATATATATTAAACTGCGTTGTATCTTTTTTTGTTGTTGTTGATTTAAATATCCTTTAATAATAAAAATATCAATATTTATTTTTTTTTTTCAATTAATAAAAAAAATTTTTTTGTGTTAATGTTTCTTCCTTAGGTCTTGGATCATCATCATTGTATGCATATCCAGAGGTAGGAGTATTAGCAGGAATATTAGGTGTATTTATGTATGCATTCGGGACTATCGTTTCATTATTCGTGTTTACACTTTTTGGACCATACATTCGTAAAAAATGTCCTGAAGGATTCACCATAACAGAATTTGTGTTGAAGAGATTTAGTATCGTCAATCAAATTTACATTTCATTGATGTCATTGGCTATCAAATAATGGGATTCATCTTTACTACCGTTTCCTTTATTATGACACCTATGCTTTGACTGAGATATATGATGGCAACAAATTTGTCAACCAGTTTTAGCCATTAATGTATTTTGAATATTCAAAAATGAATGAAAACATTAATTTTAAAAGACTACTCATGAAGGTAAGCATTTTTTTTTTCATTAAATAATAATATTTTTATTGTATTCATCAAGAAAAATAAATTACATTAATTAGTGCTAGCACTAGCAATTTCAACTACTGGTTTTTTGTGATAAGAACTAAATCCACATATCCATTGTTGGAGAGAAGGAATACTATCTTCGTTGTTGTTTTTAACTCAAAATATCAATGATTTTTCAATAAATTCTGGATTTTTTTTTGTTATTATGCTTTAATTAAATTTTATCACTCTTAAATTTAAAACAAAAATCCATCTGATTCCAAGTCAAGTTACAGAATGAGCCAATCAACAGACATTAATAAAAATATTGAATGAGGGTGAAAAAAACGTGATACATTAGAAAAATGCATTTTAATTTTGCCTGTTCGTCAGAAATTTTCTAAAAAGACTTTGTTCTGGCAAAGATAATTTTGTGTAAAAAGATCGTTGGTTGAACGTTGTTTGTTTGAAATGCTCAAAAATACTCAAGCATAGTTTTTCGAATATAAAAATAGTTCTTTGAAATGATCAAAGACCATAAGTGGGCAAGCATTGCAACTAAGTGAAAGTTGTTCTCATGCCAATCGGGTTTTTAAAAAATCATTTGCTTTTAAACTAACTTGTGAAAATATTTTGAGTACTGTCTCATCTCTAAATAATATTAAACTAAATTTATATAATAGTAATAGTAACATTATTAGATTGTTCGCATAGCGGATCGTATCACTATGTGATAATATTAAAATGAATGAACCAGGGCGCAAGATTCCCAAAACAATTGTTGCAATTAATTATATTTATTATTTTGAAAAAAAAATATGCAACCATTAATTATTAATGTTTTTCCGAACATTGTTAAATTAATTAAATTATTCATAGTATTTCATTATCAAATATGGATTGTTTAGTGTACAAAATTTAATCAATCAAAATTATGTAATTCTCTTAACACAAAAGCTTACTATTACGAGACTTAGTATTGAAAGACCAGAAAGCAAAGATTTTGGCTATGATAAAGCATTTATTATTTGGAATAAAAAAAACGTAAAAGAAAGTACAATGTAGTCATTATCCCTTAAACGAGAATGATCGGCAACGCATTAAAAACTGGTTTTTTTTGAATTTATTTACTCTCCAAAAAAGTAACCACCTCATTTTTGTTTTTGACGGTTATTTTTTTTTTTTTTGAAATTTTTAAATCTAAATACTTTTTGCGTACGAAATGGTCACAGTCGTTATATAAGTATATATTAATATTAATTGGTTCATAGTAAACCTTGATAACAACTTAAAAAGGTTAACATTGATTGAACATAACATAATTAATTGATTACCCCATCAATGGAATATTTATTAATGTCGTTCGGCTAATTTAATTTTATCAAGATGATCGATCAGATCAATAATAATAAATGAATTTATTTAATTAATTATAAATTGTTTTAATTTTTACAAAAAAGTTTTTTTTTATAATAATAATAATAATAATAATAATAATAATAATAATAATAATAAATTACTAAAGTTACATCAACTGAAGTCAATATCATCAATATTATTATAATAAAATGGCACTTTCCACACCAGCAGCTTATGCTCTATTTTTCATTACAGCTCTATCATTTTTAATTATTGGATTGTATGCTGCATATAAAAATACGAAAAATAAATCCGATTTTTTATCTTCTTTAAGAACTCAAACTGCTGTACCATTAGCACTTAACTGGATAGCTTCATGTGAGTGTTATTAAAAAAAATTTAAGAAAATAAAAAAAGTGGCAGCATCAATATTTGTTTATTTGGTAAGTGAAGATTTAATCATTTATTTTTAAAAAAAAGATATAAATAATAATAAATTATCTATCATTATCGTTCTTTTTGAAAAAAAAAAAAAAAACAATTTAATAAAAAAAAAAGCAGGAAAAAAAAATGGCACTACAGGTGCTCAATATTGAGCTGAGAATTTACTGTCAATACCTGATCAGGGTAATGCCTGCGTAGGGAAGCTGCCACTTTTTTAAATATATATATATGTATATATATATATATATATTAAACTGCGTTGTATCTTTTTTTGTTGTTGTTGATTTAAATATCCTTTAATAATAAAAATATCAATATTTATTTTTTTTTTTCAATTAATAAAAAAAATTTTTTTGTGTTAATGTTTCTTCCTTAGGTCTTGGATCATCATCATTGTATGCATATCCAGAGGTAGGAGTATTAGCAGGAATATTAGGTGTATTTATGTATGCATTCGGGACTATCGTTTCATTATTCGTGTTTACACTTTTTGGACCATACATTCGTAAAAAATGTCCTGAAGGATTCACCATAACAGAATTTGTGTTGAAGAGATTTAGTATCGTCAATCAAATTTACATTTCATTGATGTCATTGGCTATCAAAAAGCAGGAAAAAAAAATGGCACTACAGGTGCTCAATATTGAGCTGAGAATTTACTGTCAATACCTGATCAGGGTAATGCCTGCGTAGGGAAGCTGCCACTTTTTTAAATATATATATATGTATATATATATATATATATTAAACTGCGTTGTATCTTTTTTTGTTGTTGTTGATTTAAATATCCTTTAATAATAAAAATATCAATATTTATTTTTTTTTTTCAATTAATAAAAAAAATTTTTTTGTGTTAATGTTTCTTCCTTAGGTCTTGGATCATCATCATTGTATGCATATCCAGAGGTAGGAGTATTAGCAGGAATATTAGGTGTATTTATGTATGCATTCGGGACTATCGTTTCATTATTCGTGTTTACACTTTTTGGACCATACATTCGTAAAAAATGTCCTGAAGGATTCACCATAACAGAATTTGTGTTGAAGAGATTTAGTATCGTCAATCAAATTTACATTTCATTGATGTCATTGGCTATCATGTTGTGTTATATGATTAGTGAGTTGTCAGCCGTTGGTAGTATATTGTTAGAATTGGGAAATTTTGATCCTAAACTTTCAATTATTACGATCGCAGTTGTGACTTGTCTTTACACAAGTAATTATATGATATTTTTTGTTTCTATTGAATTCATTGATTATTGTTTTAATTCACTGCATATTTACTTGATTATTTTAAAGCATATGGAGGACTTCGAGTTTCAATATTTACAGATTTTATACAAGGAGCAGTAATTGTCATCTTGATTATAATCGCAACAATTGGTTTTGGCGCATCAGTAAAAATTGATCAAGAGTTGAAGGACAGTAGTGATTTGCTCAAGTCAAATTCTTTGGGTTGGCAATTACTTTACATAATGCCTGTTGCTATTTCTTTTGCCAATTTATTTCATCAGGTAAATTATATATATATATATATATATAATTTTGGCTTGGTTGGTCAGTTGGTTTTGTGATTGATTGGTTGGATGAATCATATTATTTCATTTAATCTATCATCTACCCAATCAATTGATCGATTCACCCCATTAAAATAATAATCACCCTATCAGCAACCAATTAATCAATCAATCGATCAATTTAATTATAGGGATTTTGGCAAAGGACCTTCTCATCCAAGAATGATAAAGAATTAAGTTTATCAGTTTGGTACGGTAGTCTAATCTTATTTCCAGCATTGATTTTGATCGGATTCACCGGGATACTGGCAGTATGGGCTGGTACATTGACACCAGAAATACCTGGATATATAGCTTTCTTTACATTGTTTAGTGTTTTGCCTGATTGGGTTATTGGAATTGTGTTGGTGTTGGTGGTTTGTTTGTGCTGTTCTGCCTACGACACATTGTTGACAGCCATTGTTGCAACATCTTCAAATGATATATTTCATAATAGGTTACCATTATGGGCAATTAGATTGTTTGCTGCTGCTTTTAATATTCCTGCTGGTAAGTAATTATTACAAGTCCTTCTTGGTGTTTGTTTCTAAAGTTAAATAAAAAAAATTTTTAATTAAAACAAAATTATAAATACGTATATAGTTATACTTGGTCTATACAATCTAGATGTTCTAAGAGTGTTCCTAATTGGAGATCTGATAGCAACAGCAGCAATGCCACCAATTTTACTTGGAATTTTTGACAAATTTTATTACATTAATTCAATTGATGCAATTGCAGGTGGATTAGGAGGCTTTTTGGGGATTTTTATATTTGGTAGTATTTATTATAATAATGCAAGTGATGGTGCCAATTTGATAAATTTGCCATTGGGTCTTTATGGCGAGGATTATTCAGTCCTGGGAGCTTTTATTGTTTGTCCGCTTGCTTCTTTGTTTTTTACATTTTTGTCATGTGGTGTTCGATCAAGTATTATGAAGTTAATTGGAAGTAAACCAACGCCCGATGAAAAAAGCAAATCATCTCATGAACCTATTGAACAAAATAAATCACCTTATGAACAACCTAACCAACAAAGCAAATCACTTCATGAACAACCTGATGAACAAAAAGACTCTGACAACAGAATTCGCTAGACAAAGAAAGCTATTTGTAATGGCGAGGATTTGAATTTCCTAAACGAAATTATTAATTTTAATCAATTATTATTAATGATGTATTAACAAAATATATGTTTGTAATATAGTATTAGTATAAATTATTTCGTGAAAGTATAATTTTTAAAATAAAAGACTCAGACCATCAATTTCTAATCAAAATCAAATAATTGTCTTTAAAGCTTAAAACATTACTCTAAATAAGAGTATTATTGATATGTGGAAGGCTGAACCGAGTTTCAATTTCATATATTCCATGACCTGCACAGAGTCCCCATTGAAATTTGTGGTATGTTTTAGAAAGAAAGAACACCGCCTAGAAATAAAGATGAATTATTTGTTGCGTTGAAAGTGGAGTGAGTAAAATTTGTTCCTAAAGTAAAGAAATTAGTTGATAGTATGCCAATAAGAGAGCCGTTATTGATGATGATGGAAATCCAACTATATACTGACTGACCTGGGCCTTTGCATTAATTTTATTAATTTTGTAAAAAAAAAATATTTAATAAAAACCAATTTTGAATTAAATTAGTCTACACTTGACCTTTTTTTTTTTACTTAGTAGTACAACCACACCATTCAACAGAGGTTTGAAGTTTTTTTCTAAGCTACTAATTTAATATTTTCATCCGAATTTATTAATAATACAAATCAGTGTGCAGATATAACCAAAACGTTCTTGCATTTTACTTTTTTACAGACATTCTTTTCCTGTTTTTCTTTTTCTGCTATGCTTTTTTTCGTAAGCATTTTTATTTCAAGTACTGGTTTGTCAAAACTCGCAATGTGTATTTTAACTATTCGTTCCCTTTTCTAATACTGCATTTTTTCACAACAAAATTTAGCAATTAATGGGACCAGATGGTGAAGTTTTGATTAGGCATTCAAAGGATAAACGAATTTAGCAATTTTTTGTGAATTAAATAATAAAATAGCTAGTTTTTGTGTTTGATAAAATTATATACTAATACACATATGCATTTAAAATAAAAATCTATACGCACAAATATCTATGTATTTACAAAACGTGCATAAAATAACGTTAGGTAACCAGCTATTCTCCCATAGTATTATTGAAATTATTAATATTAATGTATAAAATTACAAAATTTTCTCTTTTTAGGAATAATTTCCTTGATCGCATCACATGACTGCCGTAGTAATCTCATCAACACTAACCGGGCAATTTGGCCAATCCAACATTTTTGGACAGTGTTGTGCAAGAAGTTTTTTAATATCCCTAGCTGTATGCTTAGGGCCGTTATCTTGTTGAAAGATTCAACGGTTTCCCATGGCATTGTTTGCATTATCAAATAGATTTTCAGTTAAAATCTTTTATATAAAACACCACCCATGACATCAGTAAAAAGAAAGACCTTATACAGAAAAGTCGCCCCAGGCAAGAATTTTGTACGGATGTTTTACCATAGCCTTGTGTGGAGGTTGACTACCAGATTTATAAAAATATTTTTTGAGTATTTTTGAACATTTGTAATGTAGTTTCATCGGAAAAAATGATTTTGTTCCAATTTTGTCTCCTGTACTTTTGGGCAAATTTTATACGACATTGTTTGTGTTTGTTGGTAAGAAGGGGCACAAATTTTGGGCAATGGAATAATATTGCAGTCTATGAGACTCATTAAGTATTACTAATATTGAGATTAGAATGATGTTTATTTAAAATATTTGCAAGTTCAGCGGAGGCGGAAAATTTATTCTTCGAAACAAGTTGACCAAGGTGACAACGTTGTTTAGGAGAAAGTTTTCTGGGTCTGCCAGAATGTTGCTTAGGATCTAAAAAAATCCCATTACGAAGTTTTTTAATATAATCATATATTGTAGAAAGTGGAATGGAAGTTAATTTGTGCAAAGTATAGGTATCACAAGTGCCATTTTCCCATAAAGTAGTTATAGTTTTACGACGTTGATCAATCGAAGGTTTGTCATTGTATTTCTATATTTCAAGAATTAAAACGCAAATCAAAACAAATCGCGAGTCATGTTACTCAAAAAGTATTATTTTATTTATTACCATGAGTGATTGGATGCATATTTCAAAAGAAAATTGTGTTTATCATTATTATTATTTGAAACACATTTTATTTCGAAAACTTTTTCCGTGCACCGTAGTTGATCTAAATCAATGAAAAACATTTTTTTTAAAAATTCATTTTTTAAACTTTTTTAATTTCAAAATGACAACATATAAAGATATTAAACAAGAATTAAAGGATCCAAAGGAGATGTTGATGAAGGTGGAAAAGAAGTTATAGAGGTTGGACAAGTTGAGAGAGGGAGAAACAGAAAAGTATGTCAGTGAAAAAGGGATATTGGAAAGGAAGGAGGAAAAATTGGAGGAGTCGAAGAAGAGGTGGGAAGAAGAGGTGGTGAAATGGGGAGAAACATTAAGAGAGTTTAATAAAGAAAAAGGTAATTTTATCGCAGCTTCATTCGAAATTCTTCAATGCTACATATTCACATCATATCATATTTTTTTTAATGGGTGCTCCTAATTCTTAATATTAAATCTGGTGGAAGATGGTCGCGTAACAATTTTTTGAAGAAAAAAATAATTTAATACAATGTTATAATTAGTAAATGTATTATTATTTACCAAATGATCGAGTAACAATTAACTGTTATTTTACCATAATATTAAAGCCCGTTTTGAAAACACATATTAATACAATTTATATATTCAACAAGAAATATTATTATTATATTATTACTTACTAGATGGTCGCGTAACAATATACTGTCATTCAGCCATAATAGTAAACTCGTTTTTTAAAGAAAACAAATATTAATACAATATTATAAGAACTATTATTATTACTTACTAGATAGTTGCGTAATAATAAACTGTCGTTCAACCTTATTAGTAATATATTGTTATTATTACTTATCAGATGGTCGCGTGATAATTTTTTGAAGAAAAAAATATATTAATACAATGTTATTATATACAATGAGAATTATTAATAGTAATATATTATTATTTACCAGATGATCGAGCAACCGGTCGCGTTTATTTCGTCGACAATCATTTCGTCGACACCCATTTTGTCGAAAGTTTGTTTCATCGAATGTTCATTTCGTCGAAAATTATTTCATCCTCGAGCCAGAGACCGAACGAGTTAGATGTGAGGAGTGTGGGAAGTTAGTTAAGAAATTAGGTGAGGAAAGCGGGGTGTGTGGGAGGTGTGAGGAGAAATTTGTTTAATGAAGTTTTTTTTATGTGACGAAATGAACATTCAACGAAATGAGCATTCGACGAAATGAACTTTCGATGAATCAAACTTTCGACGAAATGGGTGTCGATGAAATGACTGTCGACGAAATGATTGTCGACGAAATGAATCAAACCCTCGAGCAACAATTAACTGCCATTTAATCATAATATTAAACCCGTTTTGAAAACACATATTAATACAATTTATATATTCAACAAAGAATTATTATTAGTAATATATTATTACTTGCCAGATGGTCACGTAACAATAGACTGTCATTCAGCCATAATAGTAAACCCGTTTTTTAAAGAAAACAAATATTAATACAATATTATAAGAACTATTATTATTACTTACTAGATAGTTGCGTGATAACGAACTGTCGTTAACCTTATTAGTAATATATTATTATTATTACTTATCAGAAGAAAAAAAAATATTAATACAATGTTATTATATACAATGAGAATTATTAATAGTAATATATTATTATTTACCAGATGATCGAGCAACAATTAACTGCCATTTAACCATAATATTAAACCCCGTTTTGAAAACACATATTAATACAATTTATATATACAACAAAGAATTATTATTAGTAATATATTATTACTTGCCAGATGGTCACGTAACAATAGACTGTCATTCAGCCATAATAGTAAACCCGTTTTTTAAAGAAAACAAATGTTGATACAATATTATAAGAACTATTATTTATTACTTACTAGATGGTTGCGTAATAATAAACTGTCGTTTAACCTTGTTAGTAATATATTATTATTATTACTTATCAGATGGTCGCGTAATAATTTTTTGAAGAAAAAAAAATATTAATACAATGTTATTATATACAATGAGAATTATTATTAGTAATATATTATTATTTACCAGATGGTCAATTAACAATTAACTGTCATTTAGCCATAATAGTAAAACCCGTTTTTGAAAACACGTATTAATAATGTTATTATATACAACAAGAATTATTATTGGTAATATATTACTACTTACCAGATGATCGCGTAATAATTAACTGTCATTCAGCTATAAACTGTTTTTATATTAATACAATGTTATTATATACAACTAGAATGATTAATAGTAATATATTATTATTTACCAGATGATCGAGTAACAATTAACTGCCATTTAACCATAACAATAAAACCCGTTTTTGAAAACACATATTAATACAATTTATATATTCAACAAGAGTTATTATTAGTAATATATTTTTATTTGCCAGATGGTCAAGTAACAATAGACCGTCATTCAGCCATGATAGTAAACCCGTTTTTTAAAGAAAACAAATATTAATACAATATTATAAGAAATATTATTATTATTATTAGATGTTGTAGATGCCAAAGAATTATTTGTTAGAATTTTTGTAGCAGGTAAACCTGCTGTTGCCGTTGTTGTTGGTGATGACAATGATAATAAAGCCATTTCGGGTTTGATGTTATTGTTGTTATTATTATTACCACTACTACTGTTATTATTATTACTATCATTAGAAGAGGAATTCAACTGATTTGTTACTGTGTTGAGATTAGTCGTTATTGATGACGATGACGATGACGATGTTGTTGATGCTATTGATGAACAAATGCCGTTCGGTTTCACTAAAGGCGAATGATGATTAATTCCGTTAGTTTTTATTGTACCATTAGGCATTGATGATATTATATTTGTGTTATTGTTGTTATAATTTCTGATTTTATGATTATTAGTTGTTTTTTGTGGAAGTAATTTACCAGTTGAACTAATAAAATCTATCGTTTCTTCTTCACCAGGCAACAAAACTTTTGGTTTATTATTATGAATATTATCAATCGAATATATTTGAATTGGATTGTCAGCTGATTTAAAAATTATAATAGCTTCACTACTATATTTTCCTTTGATACTAGATTGCTGAAACTCATCACTTTGATTAATTAAGTCAAGCAATCTATTATCTGGATTATCATAATCACCTTTCCAGTTTAAAACAGCACTCAATCTCGAGTATGTAGCTTGACCATTTCCATATATTATCATTTTATTAATAAATGATTTTAGATCAGGAATAGATTTATCTGGTTTGTGTACTACGACAATGTCAACCGGACTTCGATAGAAATCAAATTCAGTATAAGGTTCCAAAAAATTAATCAGTCTACCATTATTGGGCAGCAAATTTTTCTTGCTAAGGTTATTCAAAATGTGTTTAAGCTCAAGTTCTTTTTTGTCATTACCAAACATTTCACGAATTGTTCTGATAATTTCTGCATCATGTGACTTGACAAACACAACTGAAGCTTCAAACTCAAATTTGAAGTCAGAATATATGGATAGAAGTTCCTTTAGTCTCATTTTTGGTGAAAAGTCTAAGCGCTTCAAATAGTCACCAACCAATGAAAATTGAACTCTTCCATACTCAACAAGAAATCTACGTGCATGACATAATATATTTTTTTCGGTAGGGTTGAGAGTTATGTAGGTCTCACCAGAAATTAGAGCCACATTGAACTCCTTTCTATTCTCGGACAAGAATCCCCTTAGATTAGTTTTTGGTAATTGTGGATATTTCTTTAAATATTCATCAAGTTCCGAGTAAGTGGCTATATATTCTTTCACAAGAAAATCGCGTATTAATTTGAAGAAAAAATTAATGGTTGATCTGTATGGACTATGATAAATTGTTGGATTGATTGGTTGTGTTGATATCTTTGGTTTATTTTTTACGAAGAAACCATCCTTCTCATACCATTCAAACGAGTCAGGGCAATTTTTGATAAATTCTTTAAGATCGTGAGTGATTGAGCCTTTGATGTCTCTAAGGTATATTACCAATTCAGCACTCATTATGGCACTAGTTGATGAGTTTTGTTGAATGTATTCTTTAATGTCATTTTCAGTTTGCTCCATCCTAAGATCAATCATTGTCTTGGTATTTTCATCAATAATCTTTGTGGAATTTTTGAGTTGAACACAATTGATACCTCGGTTCTTGTAAACGTGGAAAACATCTTCATTTTCAAGTAGAAAGTTGTCGAAATTTTTTGCAACTAGAACACCAATGCTATTTAGATATTTCTCTAATTCAAAAGTAGAATCGGCCAAATGTTTCTTCAAATAATTTATTGCAGATGTTACTGATATAGCATCTTTTTTGTTTAATTTTAGTTGGCCTTGCTGTTTTTGAAATTCTTTTATTAATTGATCTTTATTAATTTGAATTGATTTTTCTCTACCATCGTCATCGTCATCGTCATCGTCATCGTCATCATCATCATCATCATCATCATCATCATCATCATCGTCATCATCATCATCATCATCATCGTCATCATCAACATCATCATCATCAACAAGATTTATTAAATCATTATTACTGCCATTACCACTAATACCGTTCTTCAACTTAACTATAACGCCATTATTATTAATTGTGTTAGTTGTGGTAATGAAAGGATTGGTGGTGATATTGTTCTTCAACTTAACTATTACGCCATTATTAACAGTTTTACTCAACTCGAATTCATTTGTAGAATTCTGTAGAATTTTATTAAGATTACGAGCGGTAACCTTAATATTTTTAGTTTCTAGCAACTTTACCAATTCTTCTAAATCAACTTGCCAACTCGAGTCAGAATTAAAATAATGTTTGACATTGTCCACTATAGTGGACGTTTTGTGAATACTTGTTGACATCTTTGAAAGATGGATGAGAATAATATAATTTTACAAATTATATATATATTTATTAAGTAATTTATAATTTTTTATCAATTGTTAATTATTGTGTTTTATTTTTTATAATGGTTTGTTCGTAAAGAAGGAAAAGTTTCGATTGAAAAAAAATTTTTTCTGTATTTTTTTAGAATATATTATTATTATTCTAGTTGTTGCACAAACTAGGGGTTTTTCCGAATAAATTTTTTCTAAATTTTTTTTATTGTTGTTTATTTCCTATTCCTTCAAACAAGAAATAATTTAAAAACCTAATTCTTATATCAAAGCTAAATTCCTAAACCAATCGCTAAACTCGGGTGACAATTAAAAATTGGAAAAAATTTACATGCGGATTTAAAATTGGGATTTTATTTGAATTTTGTAGAAAAATTATCTAAATTTACTGACAAAAGTATCTTTTTTACAATTATAATTCAAAACGCGCTGGTTAACATCCAAAAAACCATGATCTTTAACATGTAGGATACTACTATTTAATCAAATACAAAACATGCGACCAAACATGGAATACTGCAAGCATTTGGTACATGAGTTCATGATGACATCAAAAAAATACATATTGTTGCAGAAAGAGGTGGTCTAAATAGAATCTTTAGAAAATGCTTGCATATAGTGCTAACTCACTATTCACGAATTTTTTTGTGGCTTTATTATTTTGTCTGTCAAAACAATATTGTTTAATAATAGCAATAACTAGTAATTTAATAATAACGCTAGTTTTTGAAATAAATATAAATAACTAATAATAAATATGTGGACGTGTTCACACTCTCAAGTTTTAGGATCTAAACTTGGCCTAAAATTTCATTTTAAAATTACAAGTTGCGTTAAAGTTAAACAAATAAGGATTGTGCATGTTTCGTTACGATCAAAGACACCAAAGAGAACAACTGATTTTCACCAGATTTAGAAGGAGTTGGTCGAGTTGTTGGAATGGATGTCGTTTTCTAATCATATTAATATCATTATCATTTATGGAATATATTGATGATGGTAGGTATATTATTATGAAGGCAAGAAATTAGTATTTAATAAAAAAAAAGTCAACAAAATTCCGTTACTATTAAATATTGAAATCTTTTTTTAGCATATTTAATAATGAACCAGTCAGTTATTCGTAATCTATTATATTTTCATGAATCTATATAATTATTACAAGGATAAAAATAAACAAATATAAAATGGAGACTTTTCAATAAAAACAGACCATATCATGAAAAATGCAATTTTAAATTAATACCATTGCTACATGTAATCCCTTACGTAAAACACTTTTGGTTTAGAAATCATACATACCCGCATAATAAAATATCGAGATATTTTTCCCACATATTTATTAATGTCGTCATTCAAAAAATAAAAATAAAAAATAAACAAGATGTCAGTCAAAAAAAAATTTTTTTTTCCTAAATTGTATTCGTTATTATCATTCCCACGTTTTATTTGTCGTCATTTTGGACTTATAAACAAAAGAAACGTTTAAAAACTTTTTTAAAAAACTCAATAAAATAAAATAAAATTGTAGATATCAAAAATATTTTATTTAAAAATATCAAAAAAAAATTTTTTTCTAAAATATTAACATGTCGTCGTCATTTAGACTTTAGATATAAAAGGTATAAACAATAAAAAAAAAAATAAAACGGAAAAAATTTTAATGTCATCATTTTTTTTAAGACTTATAAACAAAATAAAAGGTGTGTTTAAAAAAAAAATTTTCTAAATATTAATGTTGTTTATTCCCACGTTTTATGTCATCATATTTTAGACTTATAAACAAAATAAAAAAAGGTATAAAAGAAACATTTAAAGACTTTTTTTAACATGTCGTTATTCCCACGTTTTATTTGTCATCAATTTTTAAGACTTTATAACAAAATAAAAGGTATAAAAAGAAACATTTTAAAAACTTTTTTTTAAACTAAAATAAAATAAAAAAATAAACAGAAAAAAAAAATTTGAAGGTGGATCACGCACATTTACATTTCAAGAATAAAGAAAAAAAAATTATAAATAAGCAGGTAAAAATTCAATAAAAATTCTTTAATATATATAATATCAACCTTGAAATACAAAACTTAAAATCAAAAATAAAATCTTTTCAATAATTTCATCAAATATTATTTATATAAATAGCTTTTTTCTTAAAAACATTTAACAAAAATGCTTACCTTTACCACCGAATTCATCTGTGGCCTATTAATCGGTCTTTTTCTTGGTATTATAAAAATTACAATCAGCTCTGTAATATAAACCAAAGAATTGATAAACTAATTAAAAAAATGAAGCCTGGGAAAAAATTGGTGAAAAGAAATACCTGAAAGAAATTGAGACTTTATGGAAAGACTTCACACAATTATTTGATAAAAAGATTGAATCGGTGTATAAAAAGAATGGCGCGCAGCATGAAATGAAGCTGATTCCCAAGTGCTTAAACGCGTTAAGGTATCCTGGTAGGTAAATTATAATCAGATCTCTCAACGCTTTATAATGTAACTTACTGTTTGTAAAAACGTATATAGACTTTTGGAAGAGCGTAGAAAAACCTACACTCAAGAAGTTTTTAGATTTCCGGCTAGAGAAGGACTTTTTAGACACAAAAATGAATTGAAAATCATTGGCGAGTACTATGACGAAACGTCCGAAATCGGGGCAAAGAGTTTTAAGGGAAGTTGACTTACACACGATTTATTTGATTCTAAAGCCTGAGTTGTCCTATTCTGTCACCAACTACACTGTTGACCGCGTGTTTGTCTGTTGTTTCAATGCACCCAGATTAATTCATACATTTCTTTGTCTGCGATACAATGTTATTAATAAGATTAGAACCCTATATTGAAATATTCTACCGGTCTTACACCATATCGACCTCAAATTGTGACGTTTGCAGAATTTTTGCCCAAGAAAGACAATCTAGTAAGGTGGATAAAAATAGACAAAAGAATATGGCTAGAGGTAGGGGAAGAGGTTGTGGAAGGGGAAGAGGTCATGATTCTGATTATCTACAGGTTTTTATGTAAGATTCTTATGTATTAATATACTACATGATATACATCATGTATTATTGTTATTATTGTATGATTTACGTTTTCTATATAAACAGAAATTATGATGTACATATGATATTAAAAGGCTACACATTGTATCGATAGTTATTCTTTTGTGTTTAACAATTCACATTACATTGGTGGATTGTTAAGCAAACATTATTGATCCCTGAAATTCTGGTAATACCAATGTTCACTTTGTCTGGTTTTGTTGCATCATACCCCATTTGAGAATCTCTGAACATAAGAAATCAATAGAATTGGCTGAAGCAGAGCAAATTCAATCAAATAAAGCTAATAAATCAACCAATAATTAATTTGTTATTGCTCAAAACAACTCGTTCATTAAATATTTATCCTGATTTGTGTAAATTAATCTCATTACAAATCGAAAATATTAATGATTTAACCATTAGTGACAATGTTTCTATTTTGAAACCTGCTTCTTTAGAAAAACCATTGTCCCGCAAATCAGCATATAGAAGCTATAAAAACTCCATGCCTGGTTGGATATTTTAGATAGCATTGCTTCTGTGATAAGAAAATCTTTTTTTGAAAAATTAAATTCAAATTATTTGAGCATAATGATGAACTAATTGTATTGAAGAATTAATATTAACATTAATAAAATTATTCGTTTCAAAATGTGTGCGTGTTATTTGTTCCCACAAATGAATTTTATACAACCAATAAAATCCTATGATAACTTGCGCTATTAATATACAATATATACTTGCCTGGTTGGATATTTTAGATAGCATTGCTTCTGTGATAAGAAAATCTTTTTTTGAAAAATTAAATTCAAATTATTTGAGCATAATGATGAACTAATTGTATTGAAGAATTAATATTAACATTAATAAAATTATTCGTTTCAAAATGTGTGCGTGTTATTTGTTCCCACAAATGAATTTTATACAACCAATAAAATCCTATGATAACTTGCGCTATTAATATACAATATATACTAGCCAGTGACGGACGCGTATCGCATTACACATTATAAAAATTTGTGTATATACAGTATAGTGAAGGGCTTGTTTGAAAAACTTCACTATATAGTAATAGTAATAGTACGATTCACTATACACAGCGAATCTCGGTTTAACGGATATGTTTGTCCCAGGAAATTTATCCTAATCCGCTAATATTAAAAACCTAGACATCCGCTAAACCGAGCTATCCGTAAAAAATCAAATTTTTTAATTAAATCATGTGATCAAAAAAATAAAATAATAATGTGAATGCAAATAATAATAATAATAATAATAATAAAAATACAGTTGGTAAGATTAAAAAAAATAATTCGTCCATTTAAAACGTTAATATCATAATAATCTTTCATTCTTGATTTTCAAGTAATTAGAAATGTCAAAAGATTAAAAAGAGAAATTTCTTAATTTCTTACAAAAATTCTCAGGAACAAGTGCAAACAATATCTAAATTTTTTTGCTGTGCAGTTTCCAGAGCTTTATATCTTCTATGTTAGTAATCGTTGGCCCAGGTTCATTTGTTTCGTCATTTTCATCTCCAACTTCACTTGTCCTTTTACAATATTTATGATTTCTTGTATTGTCATTTCTTCTTGAACAAGAAGATTTTGATCAATCATAATATATTCATTGAAGTTGAGTGATTGTTATTTATTAGTGGATGTACTTCTGATTATTACAATTAACAAGATAATATAAATGATGAATGGTTAGAGTGAGCGTGTTTGGCTTGAGAGCGAGACACCCTAAAATACTTTCAATAGGGCGTGATGGTTTCATATTATGTATCTTACATTTGTACTACATAACACAAGACAAGGTTTGTAAAAAGATCGGATGGGTTTGAGTTTGTGTGGTTGGCTCTTGAGAGACTTCCCAAAATTGATCATAATCATCTTGTTCCATTCGTTCTTTCTCCATTCATTCATTTCGAAAACTAGGATCCTAATTTTAATAACTAAACATTATAGTAATATTATTTGTTTCTTATTACTTCATATAACTTTAACCTAAAAAATCTCTTTTTTTATTGGTTGCTTAATATTCAGATTTATGAAATTCATTGATGTATAATGTATTAACCTTTAATGAATTTCATAGAAATAAAAGTATTTAAATGTAATCTTTTTTTCTTTTCTTATATTCACAAATTCACAAATTCACAAAAAAAATCGGTAAAATTAAAATTATTAATAATCATACACCAAGAAACTTCCAATATAAATTATCTTCACAATGAAACGTCTTATTTTCGCATCTATTTTATTGATTATATTTTCCATCTTACCTAATGCTGAAGCATACCCTGGTGGATTCTGCTGCAAGACTTTCGGTGAGACAGACGCACAACCGACCAAGAGTGATACACCAAACGCGCATCCGACTATCTGAGACATAAAGTGAAAGAAAGAAACAAATAAATTCTTTTAATTCTTTTTTTAAATTTTGAAAAAAAGAATAATTAATTTAATTAGAAAATTTTAAAAACCGTTAAAGTTACGATACATCATGTGATATTTTTATTTTATTTTTTATCTGTACTTTTTTTTATAATGTATTATATTATATATGGGGGTTTTCTAGAATAAATTTTTTTGAGTGATGATCTTTGCAAAATATGTTACACATGTTTTGATATATAAAGTGAATATTTCAAGCCTTATATCTTGTTATTGTACTAAGTAAATAATGTCTAAAATTTTTACCAGTCATAATCCTTGTGGTATAGACATATATTATGCAGAAAACTCAATTTTGGTCTGGAGGCCTTATACACGGTTTTTGCTAGAAAACCCCCCAAATATTTAAATGGAATCAAAATGTGGAGCAGATCATTGCTGCATAATTATAAGATTCTTATCAACAACGAACGTTTGGTATTTTGCTTTGCATAATCATGATAATAATACTATTATTATTTAATTACAAGAAGATGTCAAATACACTGTTGAAAAAGAAACAATTCAAATATGCAATGTTTGAATATCAGAAATTTGCAGGCATTGAAGCACGCACACTACCTTGAGCACTTTACAGTCATTCTCTTATCTTCCTCGTGTACATAAGGCTAAACTGACTTCATCCCACAATGATGCAACTGAATTCCAGGGGGGCATGGCTCTGGAGTTTACTGAGACTGCACCAATTTGTCAATGACACTTTCACTAATCTTCCCTCACAGCACCAGACCAGAGAAGGCTGCTGGCATGCTGGCCGAAAAGTTAACTGCAACAATCCTAACTCTAAGGCAAGGATGGCTCTGTGACCAAGTTGCAACTCTGCAGTATTTTGAAGAGTTGTGATATTAGGTCCACATAAACATCCAGATCATCAAAGCAATGAGAATCTGCAACTCATTCCAAGCTCAGGAGGTCACAATTCAGAGCAGGGTTTGTGGCCCTGAATTGCATTTGGACTCTGATGTTAGAAGGAAAATTGTAAAAAGTGCTTGTTTTGTATAATCATTTTCATAAATGCTCTGTTTTTTGATACTAACCAATTTAATAATTTTGGGTAGGGACTGAACAGGGTTTTGCCCAATCAGTACTCTATCCTGTAGATTAAAATTATTGCATGATTATATATATCTTTGTTGGCAATATGGCCAACAAGGAAAAAGTTATAATATGGTTCGGATTTTGGTATGCTTTGTACAAGTTAATCATTTTCATAAATTTTCTGTTTCTCTTTAATTTTTATTTGACAACTGAATTTGTCATTTAAATGGGGTAGGGTTATTGGTGAGTAGGTGTTGCGAGTGTGTAAATTCAATTACAGCTCGGGTTGTGTCCAATAAATATATAAGATAAAATAAATAAAAAAAAGTCCAATATATAAATCTCCCTGTATCCGCACACAGCTCAGGGTTCTCAATACTCTATACCAGGCCTCTGTATCTGCACACAGCTCAGAGCCTACTCAAATCTCTCTTGCGCAATTCTCTCTACAGTACTAATAGAAGTACTGCTGGCCTAAAAATGATAAATAAAAAAATATATATACAAGAAATATTTACAACTATACCACTTGAGGCATCCCTACAAGCAGCATAGAACAATCAAACGGGGGGGTTCCTAACTAATGATTAGTGGCCAGCCACTAATCATCAGAGAGGACCATGGAACAATTTACAATGGCTTTTCCTATTAACTATGCAAAAATTCGTAATAAGGTAAAATGTGTTTATTTAATTATTAACAATGGGGGGATTATTTATTCCATTATTATTAATGTTATTAACACTCTCTTTTTTCTCACTTGGTCTAAAAAGCATAATAGAAGTTTGTTGCTACAAGAAATGTTATATAGAACCCATTGCTCCTGAAGCTTCACCAGTATATATTTGTTACCTCTCTAAACTGGAGATCAAGTTCAGATCCAATTCAAATCCAGTTTATCACTTACTTTTTATTGCCAAAATGTTTGCCGCGTATTGTAAAGCTACATTGCACAATATAAAAAATTAGTGTAACACTTCAAATTTCCACTATGTAGGTCTAAAACCAAGCCTTTTTATACCTCTTGAGGTATTACAAATAACATGACCTTTACAATATTTTATCCAATAAAATATGCTTATTAATCCTATTTTCTGTATTACTAGCTTACTAATTGCTAATTACTAATGCTCTGACTCATAATTACTAATCCTATGAGTCATTATTACAAATAATTTGATTAATAATTCGAAGTAAATAATTATGTCATAAAATAAGTTAAAAATAGAAATGATGTAATGATCTACACGTGTAACATGAAGTGCAACCGTTGCAATAAATATAGAAAGATGATTGTTAATCGTGATGTAATATTTAGCGCATCACATGACTTCTGTAGTAAGTTCGTTCTAATTGGTCGATATTAACGGTCAATTGGTTGGTCCACGGTTTACAATCTCACAGTGTGCTGCTGACAAGACAGCAACTCAAGACTCAAAACTCTGAATTCAGGGAAAATCCAAAACAATGACCCAGGTTGCAACCTCCCGAGTTGCAGAGTTGCAGACACCAACTTTATTCTAGAGGGGGATAACACAAAGCAAGCATCATAAATGCTAACTCTCATCAGCAATCAATGTCCATATGGTAACAACCAAGCCTGATCTTAGAGGAAGATAGGGAAAGTTTTGTTCACTATGTGAAAGCCTTCTAATGTGTTGACAATTTTTTCATCTATAGAAAGAAACTTTCATGGATATGAAAGACTCGCAATTGTGCATTTGTGATAGGAAATTTTAATTAAATCTGCCACCTGCAATCAACATCAGATTTATTATTCATAAGAAACCATAATTGATAATCAGGAAAAATAATTTATTTTGTGAATCCCAGAGATCTGGGTAGACATGCATGGCCTTGATATCATTACTACCTGGGTGATTCATTGTTTTTTATGTCAATGATGATATCAAATGTATTGCATAATAATCATGACCATCATGAATATTTGATGGATGAGGCATTCACATACAAGGAAATGAAGGAAATGATTAAATAGCTAAGTCATGTTTGTTTTATTAAAGACATATGGTTAATTATATTCAAAATACACAATAAAAAAATTTCAAGACTGCACCACTGTGTTAATCAAGCTATCAAGCTGTTATGTTTGTGCATGATTTAAAATTCTTTTGTGCTAATTTAGGATCCATCTTTCTTTGCTTATATATAATCTATTGGTTCTTTTTTTACTAGTTGAATGATCCCAATTGGGTAATGGGGTATCAGAATCTGATTATTTTTTAAAAAAATAATCAAGGTATTAGCATACTGATAAGTTAATAATATTCTTAGTATTTTTATCATATATTCTTCTAATTTTTTAGTTAATCATTGGCTTAATTTAATAAACCAATAACTCTTTTATATTGTAATTAAATTATTGGTTAAATATTTCTAAAGCTCTTTGTGCTAAAATAATATCATAACCTTGAGTAGTAGTTAGGTTTCTATTTGAATAAGGTTTATTTGAATAAAACAATTTGAGTAAAAAATAAATCAAATAATTTGAATAAGAATAATAGTAATTTGAATAAAACAAATGAAACAAATGAAACAAATAAAAGCAAATAAAAGCAAAAAAAACAACAATAAATAAATAAACAAATAACTTTTATTGCAAAATAATTAATTTTGTTCCTTTGGTGTTAATGATTGGATTGATCACACAAGCAGTAGTAGTCAATTTCAAAGTATTTATTTAAATGTATAAAGTTTAATTATTTTTAATTAAAGCTCCGAATGGTTCGGTTTCAGTTCGGTTCGGTTTCAGTTTTTAAAAAACAATTCGAAAATTTTCGGTTAGGCTTCGGTTCAGTTTCAGTTTGGTTTCGGTTTTTAAATTATTATTGAACACAAAAAAAAAATTTTTTTTTCCGATAATAAATAAAATATATATATTAATATATTAATATACAGTATATAATAATCAAAAAAAAAATAAAACATATAAAAATAAATAATAATAATTAATAATTAATTCCTCTCCTTCAATTTACCGTTAGTTATTGATTTCTTCACAAATGAACTACATAACTCTCTTGATAATAATTCATCTGATAATAGTTCTCCTATTTATAGTAGTGAAGAATTTGAAGAGGTAAAGCTCCGAACAGTTTGGTTTCAGTTCGGTTCAGCTAGATCTTCATATTTATATTATGAAAATTTCACTCTCTCTACAATGAATTTTCACCTTTGTTTGTTATAGAAGATGTTTGTTATACATGCAGAGCTAGTTAAACC